CGAATCCTTAGCGAGATCCTACCGAAGTGGAACCCCCTCGCTGTGAGCTACGCAGACGGCCTCACTCTGACGGCCCGTAGATCCACACAAAATGACATAGCAAGGATCGAAGAAGGCGACGCGGTCACCTTCAACCCCTCGATCACTGCGCGAGGAGGCCTGTCAGAGACGTTCCGCGTTTTCGTCAGTGAACACACCCAACAAAACCCGCCCACTCACAGACCAAGACCTGGCCGCGTAGTCCAGGAGGAAGTCACTACGGTCTTCATCTTTCCCACCCGCATCGATAAGTCGAAAGAAAAGACGGTTCCCCCACAAATCGCCCCTCACGCTGCCTACTTTGGCCCCAAAGACGCCAGGAACGCCCTCTTACATGCGTCCTTGGATGAGCTATCACGTCGCCCCGTACCCGGCGACCTAGCGGTCGCCATATACGCTGTCGAACAAACACCGTTAGACGCCCCATTACACATTGTATGCACAAGTAACGCACTTGCAGAAATGATCACAGATAAGGTCCCCGACTGGGAAGACAGAGGCTGGATTGACGTAGCCCTGGAAGAACACATGCGTACTCTCCTGAACAAACTGCGTCGACGCTGCGCACCTACCACATTCAGACGTGCGGTAAAACCAACCGACCTGAAAGTACTGGGTGCCGCCAGACAACAAGTGTCGGAGCCCGACCCGCAGATCTTCAAACACCAACCTTACGCACCATTGTCTCGTGACTCCCGTTTCGAAGTGACGGGAGCTCGTTTGGCGAGGCTCACACAATCTATAGCGTACAAAGGCATTCTGTCCCAGAAGTCTACAGCTCCCCGTAAACAAACTGAAGTGAATATCGCTGCAATCAGAAGACATGAAGAACGGAACGGACCTATAACGAGTGCGACAATCTGGTCGAACGCCCGACACAAAGACTTCACCAGACCTTTCGCAGTATTCCTATGGAAGTGCATCCACGGCGCCCTGAAATGCGGAAACTTCTGGTTCAAAATCCCCAACTATGAGGACCGAGCGCAGTGCAGCTTCTGTGGAGAAATAGAATCACTCCCGCACATCCTCTTCGAATGCACGGCCACCGGTCAGCGAGATATATGGGAAATGACCGCGACCATATGGAGAAAAAAGAACTTACCCTGGATAACCCCGACAGTCGAAACTATCCACACCCTAGCCATTACAGAATGGACAAATGATCAAAACAAGACACGCCCAGGAGCAAATAGGCTCTGGCGAATCCTCGTTTCAGAAGCTGCCCACCTAATCTGGAAACTCCGGTGCGAGAGAGTGATCGGTCACGAGACTGACCGAGAATGGACACACACGAAAACGCACGTCCGGCGCAAGTTCATGTATGTACTAAACAATAGGCTGGCCATGGACGTGGAAGCCACGAGGAAAAAGTATGGAAAACTTGCACAAAAAGCTGACCTTGTCCTTGCCACATGGAATGGCACCATCTTCGACGAACTCGCGCTCCCCGAAGATTGGACCCGGTGCAAAGGTTTTTTAGTGGGTAGTTCACCAGCCTTACGTCTGTTTTTAGACCCAGGGTGAAGAGCCCCACACTGGTTTGTTGAAACCGTGCGTAAAAAGCATTTTTTTCCGTGGATTGCACCGACGGGGCGACCCGTCCGCATGCTGGACGTCCGGGGCTGACCAATTGTCCGTTGCCGGCGTCTGTTAAAGCCCTCCAAAAAAAAAAAAAAAAAAAAAAAAAAAAAAGAATCAAGTGAATCAGGGCGGTGAGCGCACCCCCTCGTGGGAATACCGCCTCGGGGACGAGCCGGCGAGCCATAACAGGAGATCGAGGATGGACGTGGACTATCGATAGTGTCCCCGGCATCATCTTGTAGTCGGTCGTGCACTGTCGCGCGTGGTGGGTCGCGTCGTAAATGATCACAGTCGGATCAAAGAGGTCCCAGTGTGGTACATGCAGCAGAGTAATTGTTTCTTAGCCTGACTGTCTCCGAATCTGTATGTTTCAAGACCCAACATTTGAACATACTGAAATACTGCGGTGATCACTGTTAGTAACCTTTGAATTTGAGTGCTAGATTGATCTACACATCTTAAACACATTTTAGGAGCTATTATGGGGCGCATAGTCACTCGTTATTTGGCAAAAACAAATAGTTTCCGTCTGGCGTGCACTGTGCCGCGTGCGATGTCCATTCAGCTGCGCAGCGTCTAATCCCCAGTCGCCCGGTTCGTCCCCGAGGCGGTATTCCCACGAGGGGGTGCGTACCACCTGGCAGTGGCTGGCACGCGGGCGCTGCGCGCCAGCGTGCCCCTTGAGGCCGAGTCAAGGGGCCGGCGCGGCGTGTCTTCTGCACTATTTCAGCGCATTCGCCGTATTCGATACTCGCCTTCGTACTGACACCATATTGTACTCTAGTACACAGACAAAGTTATGAGTTATCTCAAATTGGACACAGTCTAGTTATTGCCGCAGAGCAGTATTTCTGTGATGACATTCTCGAAGTCCATTTCTTTTACTGTAGGTGCACTGCCGCACGTTTGACTGACCTACTGTAAGGTATATGCATGTCAAACTTCATAGAAGACTGCCCTCCCCTCCATCAAAGAGGTCTTTAGGGTCTGCCTAGGGCCTGAGGCGAGGGAGACGTCTAGACTACTTAGTGGCGATAGTACTGTGTGTCCTTAATAGGGTAGCCCGAACCTCCCCCGATCGCATTCCCACGGAGGGGGTCTGTACCAGTGGGGCCAGCGCGCGCCGGCCCCTTGGGCCGAGTGCAGACGCGGCTCTACTATTACGGATTCACTGCCACAGTGGGGCGTCCGGATGGGCCCGCCTAAGGTTTTGCCAGACAGGCCAGCGCGGACCGAGTCGGTCTTCGATCGCCCGCGAATGTCGTCCGAAGCGGACTCAGAAGATTTTGGCGCCGAGGTTCTGTCGAAGATGCACGCGTATAAAGGCCAGGACGCGGCTTGCCCCCACGCAGCTTCGCTCCACCCACCCACAATAATCCCCCATCATCTATCAAGCATTAGCTCCTCCTCACGACAGACATTCGGCATGAAGTTCACGACTCTCCTCACCTCCGTTCTCGCTTGCGCGGCGTCCGTCTTCGCACAGGGCACGATCGACCAGCCAGTCGCTTGGACCTCGATCATGCCCAACTCCGTATTTAACTTCTCCTACTCCATCAACGCCGACTACTGCAAGTCGAGCTACGGCTTCTCCGTGTACATCATCACCGAGACCCCTACCAACATGGATCCCGCGCAGCAGTGGATGAATGGCTATTACCTCGGGCACTATGACGCTGAGAACTACCCGGGTGAGCACAGAGGCCGAATTTTACGTACCTACTCAATTCTGATCTCCCGCCCCCGCAGCCGTCCCCTATCCTACGAATCCGGCGCCACCCAACTTCACGATGCCCAATTTTGCGGACTCGCAGGGTGGCTTCGGGGCCGGCAAGAACGCGTCCAACGCTACCTTCAACGTGATGGTTATGGAAGAGTGGGACGATTGCTCTGTGAGTCCTTCGACCTGATATCCCGCGGCTGCCGCTCACCATTCTGCTAGGGTGCCCTCGGTAGGAAGATTGGCTTGACCATGACTCCGATCGTCTACAATGCGACGGAGGGCTACCAGTAGGCGGAGATGAACGCCGAGGCCATCGCGCGGCGATCCGCCTGAATTGCTCTCCTTGCTGCGGCGGGTACGAGGAAAGGACCTTTGTCACGAACTCTCTGAGGGAATGTTCCCTCGGGACTCTTTATGCTATTCGGACATGATGAGAGGCTTCGTCTTTCGGACTTGATTCTTTGTTGTATAGCATGACCTCTGAAGATCTGATGTGCTAGCCGTTGCGTTCGAATCCACAGCTCTCCTAACAGAATACCTTACGGACTCTGCTCGGACGTCAGCAGTACTAGTTACCATTGAGTCTCGTTGTAGCATTTGAGTAATCGCAGGATGATATACTTGCGGAAGGGACAATTAGATATGTGTACGAAAGTTTGTGTAGAATTGATCGGTTGTTGCTGGGAACCATTCAGCAGTGTCAGTGAAGCTTGCAGACAGAAACACAATCCATCTTTGCCAATGCGCCGGCAGTGAGGAGGACACTGTTGAGCAAGTCGGCGATGTCGACTCCTCGAGCGCGCCACGTGCATCAACCATATCTCTGCGACGCCTGGGGAGTCCGCGTTTGTGGCTTCCTAACAAGTATCCAAGTATCCTCGTTCGCCTTAGCTGTTACTACGATACCCCCAGGGCTCGGTGAGCCAACATGGCCAGCGACAACCCATCACCCGAGGACAAGCTGCGGTACGATGCCGCGAAGAAGGAGCTCCTGCAGGCCCTCTCAAAGCGGCGGAACGTAGACAAACAGCTGGTTCGTCCCCGGTGTGGCAAGCCTCCCTCGCGTCTCCTCATGTCAACAGTCCCACCTAGAGGTGCAAATATACAACCTCGAGGCGTCGTACTTGACGGACAGCGCGGCGCACAGCGGCGGGAACATCCTCCACGGCTTCGAGGGTTACCTGAAGAACCCGACCGGAGGGCGGAAGAAGTACGAGATCCACGACAACGACCGTATGTTCTCGAACAGCAGCACGACGTACAAGAAGGCGCGTCGTCTTGCCTCCTCGCCAATGGTGTAATTGACCCGCCCCCCTCCAGTCGCTCGAGCTCTCCGGCGAAGGCGAAGAGTCAGGACCCGGGGATGACTCGCGAATGTCGACCCCCGGTCTCACAACAGTGATTGTCCCTCCTGCTCCGCGGAATCAGGAGCTCACCGCCGCGCAGCAGAAGAAGAATAGGGATCGCGAATACCAGAGAAAGAAGCGGGCGAGTGCGCGCGCGACGGCCACCCCCATGAGCGAGGATGACAGCCAGAGCGTCGCTTCGTCAGGACGGAGGCCGACGAAGAGGGCGCGTCTGGCGGACGACGACTAGCACGGTGCAGCTGAGTCGCGATGGCGTGGTCGTCGTCGCACAGACACCTGTACGCTGCCGGGACCGCTACTTACTATGGGTATGTGATGATGACCTGTGGTTTGGGACTGTTGTAGGATTATCCGACTATGCTGTATCATACTTGTACTATGCTATGAGATGTCAGTCAATCCATGGAGTGGCTGTCCTGTGTTCACTATATATCGAGCGTACCGAGGAACTTCTTCATCTCAGCCTCGCTCATTCCACCACCATCCGGGTCTGCAGCCTCAATACACCTTGAGACAGCAATGATGTGCCTCGCTTCCCTTGCATTAACCCATACGCGCCCATTCAGCCCTGTCGCCGTTTCATGAGGGAATCGTGAACCAAGCATTGGGAGTAAGAAATGGTTTGGGTCGAGTAGCCTGGACCGCAATGGTGATGTAAGGACACAAAACTCAAGACAGAACAAGTACTCTCACAAGCGACACATCTTGAGACTGCAACGCACGACGAAGCCCCCTTTGAGCTCGCCGAAACCCTCCGCCTTGCGTGTCTGCGCGTCGAAGCACTCCAGCTCGGGCTCCATGTCCTTGTGCGCGAGCGACACGCGTGCGTATAGCAGCGACCCGACCTATCTTTCGCTCGGAACAGCGCTCTTCGAGACAGTCCGTCCACGCTCACCTTGAGGTTTGGCCTATTCCGTTTCGTCGCCCCCTCAAACGCCAGTCCATCCAGGTTCGCCATATGCGCCGCCCCGATGTCCACCCTCCAATTCTCCCCACTCCGCGCGATGACCACGCCGATCACCGACTCTTGCGGCGCAGGGACGTACTGCCTTCCCTCCCGTAAGCTTCATTATTGCTACCAGGAGGCCACTCACCCGTCGGGCGTTGCTCTCTATCCACCATCGTGCGCGGTTAGCGGAGTGGTTGAGCTCGCCGGCACGGGTCGCGATGATCGAGGACTCCCCGGACGGGCCTGACTGTTGGAGCAACCCGGGTCCTAGCTTGAGGTTGACGTGCTGCGCGGGAACGAGCTCCCCGGGAAGGACGAGCGACATGGCTGCGATGAAGAGTCGAAAGGGCGATCGAGAGACGGGTATCGGGAGAGCATTCAGACGCCTCTGAGATTTGAACGATCGACGCCCTCAGATTCAAATCGTACTGAACGCATGGGCGAGTCGGGATCGCTCGTAAGCACCATGTCCATATTCTATGACATAAGATGGGCTCGTGTATATACCGTTAGCATGTAGTGAGATCACCATGAAGTCTGGGTATAACGTCCATGCCTGCCGAAAAGAGAACGCAGAGTTAATGTATTACAGCAGACGAGTCAACCACAAGTGGGGTTCCGTGCTCCGCTTCGTATATAACATATGTACAGCGAATAATATCACAACGAAAGGAGAGTTGCTATACCAAACGAATCAAAGGGATCCACGAGACCGAGGAGGGGAGATCGTAAAAGAACAGGTATTTGGCAGGCGGACGCAACGCGAACACACGGGTGTCGCTCATGATGTTCCAATAGTGTTTATACGTAGAAGCCGAAGACCAAACCATAACGTCCAGCCACAGAGCCATCAGAAGAATAAATAAGTCGTGACGAAAACACCAAGCGCGATGACGATGACTAC